AAAAATAAATTTCAGAAGATAAATTTGACTAATCTAGATTTCTAAATGAAGGTGTAACATTGTTTTGAATTGGTCATCTTTCGATACAAGGTAATGTTGTTAACAAAAAAAATAAGATGATCAAACAATCAAATTGAAAGGAGATGTATATTCAAAGCATTCTCATTCCTTGCGTCCTAATACGCCTTTACTAAACACCCTGTATTGCAAAATTAAAAGGAAGTTCCAGATATATACGGACTCTTTCTTGCATTGATCACAAAGATGTTTACTTTTATAGCATAAGGGGTTTAGTTGACAACGCAAAGTTTTAATCTATAACCTTTCTCATTATTTTAGCGTTTTGCCGTAGCCGAAGGGACATTAACATAGCGTCAGGAAAAATTCCATAAAAAATAAGCATCACTGTGTAAAATAGCTCAAGAGTCAAAAGAGAACACTTAACCTCTAGGATATGACTAAAAAATTGAAATTATTACACTCAACGGTTATCATAGCTCAGAAATTATTGAGATTATGTCTTTGATTCATTGTATAACTTCATAAGAGTTAGATAGGATTAGAGATCTATCATGATTTGGAGATTGAGTCTCATCATGATTAGGAGTTTAAATCCTATTCTAATTAGGAAGTTAGGCTAGAGATAGGGTTTTGGTTTTCTTATATATATTCTTCTATTGTTAGAGGAAAAATCATGTAGATGAGAGAGAGCTAATATTCTTGTAATCTAGGGTTAGCAGAGGACGCAACCCGATTTAAGAATATTGTGCGAGAGGCGAGGGTTTTGTAGTCTTTGTCTGTGCAAAAGATTACATCATTGGGAGAGGGTTTCACAGTCTTTGTCCATTCAAAAAATTGTAAGGAGAGTTCTTTGCAGAGAATATGAGAGTTGATTATGTATGTGAGGTTGAGAGATTGCGAGACGAGAGTTAAGTGGTTCATCTTATAGTTTTTCCCGATACATAGTGGATTTCTTGTATTGTTGCCCGTGGACGTAGATCCAAATTGGTCGACTGAACCATGTAAATCTTGGTGTTTTTTCTTCTTGATTGTGGTTGTTTTATATCTTATTAATTGTGGATTGGCTTCCAAGTTGCGCAAATCATAGTAGGCGGGGAGACTAAATTCCCCAAGAAGTGGTATCAGAGCCATGATGATGCATCCAGGCGTGAGTTCGCAAGATAGAAGACGACATTGTGCAAGATTGAAGATCGACATTACAAGAATCAAGATGAAGAAAAATAACGGAAGGAACGACCATTGCTGGCAGGAGGATTTAACGGAGACTAATCATCCGGAGAAGAGCACCCGAGGGATGCGACGTCCGACAGAGGGCTTGCGTGGAGACGAATTGGCAGTGAGAGGAGCAGGTGGTGACAAGTTGGCGGAGTTGCTTGGAAGAATTCTCGAGAGGGCTTCAATTGGCTCTGTTCGTGAAAATCTGAGGAGACAATCATATGATTTGACGATGAGGTGATCTTGTGTTTGGAATATTTTGGTGTTTGGTGTTTTTGACTACACGTGATAGAGAAAGAAATCATTCTTCACATGTAAGAGAAGGAACCAAATTTTTTTGGTGCCCAAGATTCGGTGTGTGCCTTTGTATGGTGTTTGTTGTTTAATTCAATCCAATGGTTGAGATTGATTAGAGTGTAGATGGGCGAATCGTTGGTGGATTTTAGCGATCTAGCAGTCGATTCCTAGGTTTTGGAGTGCTCTGAATGCGATGGGAGGGTTTGTTTTTTTACATTTTGTTCAGATTGGTCAAAAAGTGCTGAAAAGTTCTGGTGATGATGACGAGACTGAAATTACCCTATGGGGCTGAATATGGTATTTGCTAATCTAATCTGATATATATTAATGCCAAATTAAAACTTTACAAGTAATATCCTCGCAATATGATATACAATGAGTTATTTGCAAGGATATGTAATTAAACAAAGGTTGATATAAACGTGAGACAATGTAAACAATGAGCATAATAGGCGATATAAGATGAATACAAGAGAAAATGCGCCAATAACAAACACAAACACAAATAAAAGATCATGGAGTCTGGTCACCATCGACCTAAGTTTACACTCCTCACCCTCGAGGAGAATCTCCACTATCAATTACAAAACCTACACAATCGGTTTTCAACGCTCACCAACAAACGTTTATAACTCACACTACTGTCAATACACAACACACCTTCTAAGTGTTGGCCTAGCCCGTGTCACCTTCCTCAAGTGCTAGGAATTACAACCTCTCCCTAGGATTTACAACCGATGTCACTCCTCTTGGAATTGACCTCGTCTCTCGCCAATCACTTCTCTCGGTGTCCTTATGTATTATAATGTGTTCTCAACAATGAAGTGCAAATACAAAGGGTTTGTTCTCTAATACAATGTGAGAACAAAATTAAGCTCACTCTCAATATTACACCCCACAACCCAATAATATATTATATGTGAAAATACTAAAGCTCAATGTGGTCAAGGGGGGGGGGGGTGCGTAACCAATGAGTATAAATAAAATCAAACTCAAATTAATCTAGCAAGTAAAAAAATATAACAATTAAAATATAAACAAGCTAGTAATGAGTTTAAGGAAACTTCTCCAAACAAAGAGGGTTGAAGAATTGAGGTTGAACTCCCTCAATGATTAAACTTAAAATCCTCCTCTTTGTGAAACTTTCTTCACAAAAACAAACCCTTGATTTTTGACAACACTTGATTTTGACAAAATGACTTCAAACAAGTTTGAAACTACTTTTAACTAGATTAATAGACTTTATAAAAGATATATAACAGTTATATTTAGTCATTAATCCATAACACAATATTTTGCAAATTAGTAAAACATACGAATTTGTTAAAACTTAATTTTGACGAATTTCTTTCAAACAAGTTTTGAAAACACTTTAATATATATTTATAGACTTGAGGAAAGATATAAAATAGTATAAACAAGTCTTTAATCTATAAACATATTATTTTCCAAAACCAAGATGATAAATATGAAACGAGTATGTATGTATATATATATATATAACTATTTGTTTCATATTTATATGAATAAACTTGAATGCTATAAAAAAAATGTGTATGTGTAAAAAAAGTTGAGCTTTGAGTATAAACGCATAAAGACACAACTAAACTAGAAACAATATACCCAAGCTTAGAAATCATCGATTGAGCTCGATCTTGGTAAACATGGATGAAGCGCAATATTGAGTCTTGTCTTGAGCACATAAATACTTCATTCCAGATTTCCTCCAACCTCCAAGATGTCGTCGTTAAGCTCAAGTCCAACCAACCTCTAACAGGAGGATCTATGTGTAGAATACCTAATAAACAAATATAAACACTTGACAAACGTTATTAGGAATTGTTTGTTAATCATCAAAACTAGATTAGATAGTAGGCTTATAAACATGAGACCTAACAAAGACAGATCTGATGGCAGATAGGGCAAACGAGTATACGATGAGTAAGACTGATGTAGAGAATCAGACATGATTCTAACAGTAGAGTTGTCAGCATATAATTGTTCAGAGTTATTATGGGAGTAAGAGTTGGTTGGTGTGTAGACTTGAGGTAGACAGTGCCAGATTAGGTGCAGCTTGCAAGCAGGAATGACTGAGTGACACACATACTGATGGAGATGGTGACCTTAGACTTAAAGACGATGAGTGATCATATTCGGTCCAAGCCAAGTGATTGAGGAGATGGAGGCATCTGGCTCATAGTGTGGAGTAGGAGAGGTGCACCGATATGATTCAAGATGAGCAATGCAGGTGGAGTACGAAGACAGCAATGCAGGTGGAGTACGAAGACAGCAAGTGGGGGAAGGCTACTGTCAAGTTCAGTTTGGGAGGAGAAACATGGTTGATTTGCTTCTAATGTCAGAGGTGGCGAAGATCTCTTGGTGCTCACAAGAGAGGTGGAGGCGCTACGGCGAAGAAGATGATAGCGAGGGTCATGAGACGTCCCAGTTGAAGTTCATATATGTGCTTCAATTGAAAAAGTGAAAGGAATAAAAGATGCTAGCAGGAGAAGTAAAGTTTCAAGACGGCGATGATATATCTTCAAGGAAGTTTGGGAATCAAATCCAAGGTAGAGATTGTTGGGATTATGTCATTGATTCTTTGTATAACTTCATGAGAGTTAGATAGGGTTAGAGATCTATCATGATTAGGAGATTGAGTTTTATCATGATTAGAAGTTTGAATTCTATTCTAATTAGGAAGTTAGGGTAGAGACTATATATATTCTTCTATGTTAGAGGAAAAACCAAACAGATGAGAGAGAAAGTCAATATTCTTGTATTCTAGGTTTAGCAGAGGACGTAACCTGATTCAAGAATATTGAACGAGAGGCGATGGTTTCGTAGTCTTTGTCCGTGCAAAAGATTACATCATTGGGAGAGGGTTCCGAAGTCTTTGTCCATTTATAAGATTGTAAGGAGAGGACTTTGGAGAGAATATGAGAGTTAATTATGTATGTGAGGTTGAGAGATTGTGAGACGAGAGTTGAGTGATTCATCTTATAATTTTTCCTGATACATAGTGGATTTCTTGTATTGTTGCCCGTGGACGTAGGTCGAAATTGGTTGACTGAACCATGTAAAACTCGGTGTTCTTTCTTCTTGATTGTGGTTGTTTTATATTTTGTTGATTGTGGATTGGCTTCCAAGTTGCGCAAATTGTAGTAGGCGGTGAGGCTAAAATTCCCCAACAAAAATTTTAGAATCCAGCGAGATTAGCTTGTTTCTATCTTTATTTCTCTTTACTCTGAGCGTATACATATTCTATGTTTATCTTCTCTGTTTAGTAATTTCCATGAACATCTAGTGCACGTTACTCAGGGGAAAAAAATAGTGAAAATGACATTCAAACAACTGGATAGTTTCTCTTTGAAACTAATCAAGCGCAACAATACATCCTTAACCATTCTCTATAAATAACCATGCATTCAAAGGAGATTAGCACAGAGAAAAGAATTAAGAAGCAGAACAATAATTAATGGAAGTTGTGGAGTCTTGCATTGTGGTTCCTAGCGAAGAGACCCCAAAGCATAGCATCTGGCTCTCAAATTTAGATCTATCGTTCAGCGTCAGAGAGCATACTCCGTCGGTTTATTTCTACCGACCCAACGGCGATCCCGACTTTTTCAAGGTTGAGACGCTGAAGGCGTCGCTGAGTAAGGCTCTCGTTCAATTCTATCCGCTGGCTGGTCGACTTGAGGTCGGCAAAAATGGTCGGATTGAGATCAATTGCACGGGCGAGGGGGTTCAGTTTACGGTGATTCGGTCGGAGTATGATGTGGATAAGTTCGGAGGGTTCGCTCCGTCGCATGAGATGAGGGAGGCGTTGGTGCCTAGGGTTGCGTCGTCTGAGCCACCCTGCGTGTTGTTGATGATTCAGGTGCATGTGTATTCCTTTTATTTCTTTTGTCGTTTCTTGATTAATTTTTAGAAGAGTTGCTATCTTGTATACGACGTGAATATGTGCTTTTTTACTACAATGGATGCTCTAAATTAGTTAGAAGTTCCGTATATATATAGCGATGAGAAAATGACAAAAAACTCAAACATATTAAAACTAAAGTGGAAGGCCGGATCCATGGGAGCAATTACGATATAGCAAAATGATTATGCAGCAAATGATATGTCTACCGAGTAAGGAAAGCGCTAAGTATACTGTAAGAAATAATGATATGTCTACTGAGTTATACGAAAGATGCTAAGTATATTATAAGAGTTGTACTAGTCTTATACGTGTAGAGATTCCTCTATGTCCTTAGGTGTAGAGAATATCAAAACGCTAATTATATTATAAGAGTCATACTAGTCTTGTACGCGTAGATATTCCTCTATGTTCTTGGTTGTAGAGAATATATATAACTTAGTAATCACCTCTCATTCTGTAGACCTCATAAATTGTATTTTTAAATAATATTAACATCCTTTTATTTCTGGGACCAACTGAATAAGTCAATGTTACTATTCCATGTAATCTCTTATACTATTATACACAAAGAAGTGGAGTGCATAAGAACTCATAATTTCTCTTTACGATTTCTAATACTGTCCACTTTTTGGTGCGTAGTAGTACAATAGTAGTGTAACTAATGTACAATTGTCACTACTCCTTTGTTAATTCTCGATTTACATAAAACACTTAAAATAAAGTTTTTTATATTAGTTGTCTAAATCATTCAGATTTTGAGATTAGTCCCTCAAATCATTGATATTACCACTAAGCCCCTCACTTCTTAGGTTGTTTCAAAATTAGTCCCTTAATTTGATCAAAAAAAAAAAAAATAGTCCCTTAAAATCATTAAAATTTCTGTAGATCCCCCAACTCTTAAGTTATTTTGATGCTAGTTCCTCCAATCAAGCGTAAATGTAGTAATTGGCAGGGTTACCATGTAAAATCTAATTTTGTGTACTATCATCTCCTAATTCTCATAATTTATTTCATATTAATCCTTATAATTGTTAATTTTACTCTTTACTGGAGGAACTAATTTCAAAATAACTTATAAAGTGTCAGTTTGTCAAGGAGTTAAGAGAGAATTATTAAAGAGAATGATTAACCTAGTTAACGCTTTATAAGGAGTTAAAAATAACTTAATCCCGTTTATATTTTAATAGTTAAGATGAAGGGTTAAGTTTTTTTTTCTTTTTGTGTTTGTCAAATCAAATAAAGAAGAACTAAGGAGTTTAATTACCACACATTGCTTACCTCTAGAGGGAAGATTTATTAACCCCTCCAAATAAGACGTTAATTAATTAAATTTAACGCAGTCTTTTGATCAAATTAATCCATTTGGAGGATTAACGGGGCTTTAAACCGCCCCCGTTTAATCTTCTCTTAACCCCTTACCAAATGGAGCAAAAGAATTAGGAGACGTAGTAGCAATTCCATATACTCGAGGGACTTTCTTTAGGGGGGAAAAGGACTTGTGGGAATAATTTCAAAAGGGGTTTTGTTTTAACTTGTATTATTAAGAGGTGAATAAGTATCAAATTCTCTCGTTTTGACACATAGATAGATGGGTCGTTGCATATAACTAATTCGTTTCTAGCTTTTGTATTTAGAAACTTTTTTGGAGAAAAAGTTGTATTTAGCAATTGGGAACGGGTTCTCTCTCATATTATTCGATCAATGCGTAAAATTATTCTACGCGTAAAGAAGTTCATAATGCATTTGTAATGTCTGTGTTTGTTAACTCATTTTATTCCATGCGTAAATTTCTTCTGTTGGACGTGTTAATAACGGGTGAATTCCTTTAACCCTTCAAGCATCCTCTTCACATTATAGGCGAGACTTTACTGACTATTGGCTTGTTTTGCTTGTATTCAACTCTCAGGTGACATTCTTCAAAGGCGGCGAGGTGACCATCGGCGTAGCCAACCACCACATCGCCGCCGACTTCCACTTCATTAAGACATGGACTGACATCGCCCGCGGCATCTCCGACGTCTCCTTCCCTCCCTTCTTCGACCGCTCCCACCTCCGCGCACGATCCCCTCCCTCCATCACTGCCGACCTCCTCGAATACAAGAAACCCCCACAATCCGAATCCAACACCTTCACTGCCCCTCCACCCTTCGACGTCGCGATCCTCAACCTCTCCAGAAACCAGATCACCACTCTCAAAAAAAGGGTCAGCATAGACAAATCCTTGTCCACATTCAAAGCCGTGATTGCCCACATCTGGCGCAGCGCGTGCTTCGCACGGAGGCTTGCCGCTGACCAAGACACACGCCTCTATACGGTGCGCCGCTGCCCGTTGGATACTTCGGCAACGCGATCCTCTGCACGTCAGAGGGAGCGAAGGCGGGGGAGATCACGTCAGGGTCGCTAGAGTATGCAGGAGAGAAGATACAAGGGGCGCTGGCAAGGGTGGACGACGAGTACGCAAGGTCGTTGATTGATTACATGGAGATGGGGAATGAGGAGAGGGGGTGGTTCTTGACGGAGAAGGATCTCTTTCTGATCAGTTGGCTCGGGATGCCAATATATGAGGTTGATTTCGGGTGGGGGAAGCCAGAGTTCATGACGAGAGCGAGTTTGTTCGGTGGAGGGATTGGGTTTGTAATGGATAGTCCCGCGGGGAATGGAGATGTGACCGTTGTTATGTCGATGGAAAGTGAGAACATGGAAGAGTTCAAGAAGGCACTTTTTCAAGGGTGTGGCGACTGACCGGTTAATTTGGTCGCTGTTTGATGTTGTGGAGCTTTTCAGTTTGTTGTTTTGTTGTTGTTCATCTGTTGAGCTTGAGTGATAGTTTGTATTTGGAAGTTTGGAGCAAGGGAGGTGATAATAACCATTGACTTCATCTGTAATTATTTGATTGAGTTTATACAAGTGGAATTGTTAATTTTGGTGCATATATAGACCGTAATGTTCTCCCAATTTAACTGTTGATGTTTGCAAGAATTCTAATTAAAAAATGTTGGAGGACACATGATTAGTTTTTCTATAAGAGTTGATCTTTTGATTTGTGAGTGTGGAATGGGAGGCAGTACGTATTAAGTACGAGGAAGAGTACTTATGTAGGGATGAATGTGTTGGGAATATTAGCTGTTTAGACAATAATTAGCACGAGATGCAGTTAATAATTTTCAGATAATAATGGGTTAATTTTATACAAAGATGTAAGAAATAATTCAAATGAAAAGAAATAAAGGTTAGAAATACGGCCTGATGGTCGAGGCGTACAAGGCACTGTCCCAAGAATCTAATTGCCCCCTTTCGTACAGGGGTACGCGGCAAAAGTTCTCGGAGATACAACGACCCTCGGTCAGGCGACCTCCTTCTCGTCGGCACGAGCTTCAAGAAGGCTTTGCGAATTCTTCTCGACTTTCAAGGAACCAACAAAATGTAACAGCAAGTAAACGTAAGAGGAAGAGCAGAGCAGAGAAGAAGAAGAGCTTCTTGTGTTTTCACTGTCCTCAAACTCTTGTAGGTTTAGGTCCTTATATAGGGGAAAAACAACCGTTATTCATAAATCTGCAGTTAATATATTTTAATTACTCGCCCATTTATCACGTTTTTAATCATGTTAATAAATCTTAGCTGTTACAAAATATTTTCGTTACAAAATAAATCAGGAAAATATTTATTACGTTTCCGTTACAAAATATTTCAGTTACAAAATAAATCCGCAAAATATTTATCACATTTTCATTACAAAATATTTCTATAAATCACGTTTTTAATCTGTATCATATTAGTTATGTTTTAATTATTCTAATTAATAAAAAACAAAATATAGCAGGTTAAGAGCCCCTCAATCAGGAGCTTCATTCGTGTCCGCACGCCACCCGACCCGACCCGAACCGAACCCGAGCCCGAGCCCGGCCAAGCCGGCGCGCGCGTGTGTGGTGTGGAGCATAATCTTTATTTACTTCTAGGCATAGGAGAGAAGGGAAATGCTTATAAACACTCTTCCCTCTTATTCCATTTCCTATGTGGGACTTAACTTTCCCACTACAATATCAAGTTTTAAGTTACACTTATTATAACTCCAACAATCCCCCACATAACTTAAAACTTAAAATAATTCAGAAAAAACAGTAAAAGAAGAACTTAAAAACAAATAAATAAGATTGCTGGTTTCCTTATACTATGTAATAGGTGGAGGTACCTTTCGGTTTGAACCTTCACTTAGTGACAGTTGTATAGATCCGTGAGAGCTTGGTGGACTACGCCTTGAACCAGTCCTATTTATCGGATTTCTACAGAAAACACACATAGTACAATTTAGAATAATTCTAAGAGGGTTGTGTTATTATCGGCCTTGTGCAGGTATCTTTCATGTGTGTTACTAAGGAGTAGCCCTGATCCCATAGTCACGGCCTCACAACTACACACATATAGGTGAATCCTAATAAGAATGCGAGCAAGTAAGCATCCTGCCTCATGGGTCTTGGATTCATTAAGAGTTTGACTCAACTTTTCACTTGCTTTTTATGAGCACCGATCATCCTAGGGATGAGAGCAAATAAATTCAATGCTCCTCACAATTAATCACTCGTCCAGTTTGTTTCTACTCATTGAACCTCTGCGAGGTTGGGTTGCCACTGCAGTGTTTTTTCTTATGGGCTTAATCCCACCCCCCTCGATGATTCTAGGACCACTACCCTAGATAAGCCTTTAGTTAAGTGATCTGTAAGATTTTTCTCTGATCTTACAAAATCTAAGGCTATTACATGATTTTTCATCTTATATCTCAAGGATTTATGTCGCACTTTCAAGTGTCAATTCATCTTCACATTTGCATTCTCTTGATGACATTTGTCAATCGCTGACCTACAATCACAATGAATAGAAATAGCTGGTAATGGTTTTTGTATTAATGGAATTTCAGTAAGTAAATCTTTCAACCATTCAGCTTCTATACTAATAGTATCAAGAGCTATCATTTCTGATTCCATTGTACTTCTAGCCATTACAGTTTGTTTAGTAGATTTCCAGGACACAGCTCCTCCTCCTAAAAGGAACACAAAACCAGTGGTGGATTTTACATCTACTGAGTCACTAATCTAATTTTCATATGAGTATCCTTCTAATACAGATGGATAACCTTTATAATGTAAACCATAGTTCATAGTTCCTTTTAGATACATCAAAATTCTTTCTAGAGCATCTCAATGACTCTTATCAGGATAATTTGATGTATATCTACTAAGTCTATTTACTGCATAAGCAATGTCAGGTCTGGTGTAGTTTGTCAGGAATCCTAATGATCCAATCATTTGTGCATATTCTCTTTGTAATTGAGAATAACCTTTATTTTTCTTTAGATGTGCATTAGGATCATATGGAGTAGAAACAGGTTGACAATTTAGATCATAAAAGTTCTTGAGAATTTTCTCTATATAGTGTGATTGTGACAACACATATCCATTCTCATTTTTCAAGATTTTAGTGTTAAGAATTAAATCAGCTTGACCTAAATCTTTCATGTCAAATTTTTGTGATAAAAAATATTTGATTTCATTTATGCTTTGTATGTCAGAGCCAAAAATAAGAATATCATTAACATATAAGCATAAAATTACAATTTTGTTGTTATTATCTGTTTTATGATATACACACTCATCTGTTTGATTAATTACAAATCCATAGGATAGTATGATCTCATCAAATTTCATGTGTCATTGTTTTGGAGCTTGTTTAAGACCATATAGTGATCTAATAAGTTTGCATACTTTCTTCTCTTGTCCAGAGGCAACAAATCCCTCGGGTTGATCCATATAAATTTCTTCATCTAAGTCTCCATTTAAGAACACAGTTTTAACATCCATTTGATGTATTATAAATTTGTGAATGGATGCTAAAGCTATAAGGATTCTAATGGTAATAATCCTAGCTACTTGGGAATAGACATCAAAATAATCAATACCAGATTTTTGGGTATATCCTTTAGCTACTAATCTAGCCTTATATTTATCTATTGTTCCATCTAGTCTGAGTTTATTCTTAAATACCCATTTACATCCTATAGTTTTGCAGCCTGAAGGAAGATCAATTAGTTCCCAAGTATGATTTTGAACTATAGATTGTATCTCATTATTTATAGATTTCTTCCAAAATGGAGCATCTACTGATTTCATTGCATCTTCAAATGTAATTGGAGAATATTCTACAAGTAATGCATAGAAATCTTCATGGACCTTTTTCTATTTTAGTTCTTTAACTTCTCCTAGGCTGCTCTGAACTTTCTAGTGGTCTAATTTGTTTAGAACTAGTTTCACCTTGGTTAGAACTAGGATCTGAATTGCTAGAGTTAGGACCTGTGTTGTTTACTCTATTCTTGTAATGGAAAATATTTTCAAAGTAATGTTCATCCCTAGCTTCAATTATGGTGTTGTTGGCTATCTTATTAATGTCAGAGTTGATTATTAAAAATCTATTTGCATTACTATCAGAAACATAGCCAATAAATATTCCATCTACAGTTTTAGGGCTAATCTTCTTTCTCTTATTCTCAGGTATTTTAACTTTTGCTAAGCATTCTCACACTTTCAGGTGATCTAAATTAGGAATTCTATTCTTCCAAATTGTGTAAGGTATTTTATCAGAATTCTTGAATGGAATTCTAATTAGTATATGGAAAGCAGTCATGAGAGCTTCTCCCCACAAATTCTATGGCACACTAGAATTAATTAACATTGAGTTTATCATGTCCATTAAAGTTCTATTCTTTCTCTCAGCTACTCTATTAGATTGAGGTGTATACGGAGCAGTTATTTCATGAATGATTCCATTCTCTTCACATAATTGTTTTAATTCATTAGAAGTGTATTCACCACCTCTATCTAATCTTAGTATTTTAATTTTCCTATCCAGTTGAATTTCAACTTCTGCTTTATATATTTTGAATTTGTTTATAACTTCATCTTTGGTCTTAATTAGGTAGAGGTAACAATATTTAGAACAATCATCTATAAAAGTTATGAAATATTTGTTACCTCCTCTAGATGTTCTTCCTGAATCACAGACATTACTATGTATGAGTTCTAATATCTCAGAATCTCTATCAATAGTTTTAAAGGGTTTCGTAGGATGTTTAGCTTCTACACATATATCACATTTTCCATCATCTTTTATAATAAGCTTTGGAATTATATTGAGGTGCATCAATCTTTTAATTGAATTATAATTCACATGCCCTAATCTTTGATGCCAAGTGATAGAAGGTTCGATATTCAAAGCCATTGGAGATGTAAGGGTAGAATTCTTAACATTTATTTTAAAAAGACCATCACATAAAAATCCTTTTCCAATAAAATTCAACCCCTTAGTTATTACAACTTAATTTGATTAAAAAACAAGCTCTTGTTGCACTAACAAAGA